CGGGGTGGGGCGTCGTGACACGAGAGGGTGTTCGACCCCACCCCACCCTTCGCCACCAAAAAAACTGACGGCGAAGATAACTGAACGCGTCTCTATCCAACCGATTCACTGGAAAAGAACTAACGTGACGTGCGTCACGTTTCTTGGTGCACTCTCGGCACTCTCGCAGAAGAGAACGTTTCCTGATGCTCTCTCCTTGTGATACCCCTATCCGTTTGTATGGAGTAGAGGGCACAATGAAACGTTCTCTTCTGATAATGCATCAAGTATTGTTTTCAGTGTTCTGTCACGGTTAACCTGCGTTGCATAAAAACAAAACAAAAACGGTTTTGTTTGTTTCAGTTTTGGCGTATTTGACGACGACGACGACGAGTCACACACACACGCGGGGGGCGCCCTTCCTCCTATACACGCGGCGTGTCTATCGAAACCAGCCACGAGCGCCTTTCTGCGACCCCAAAACTGATTCCGATTCCGAACGGGACACGGAAATCCCATGGAAGCAAGAAGACACGGGAGCAGCGCAGAGGGGGAGGGGGGCAGGAGAGTGGGATTGGAGCAACGATCTCCATGCGCTTTCTGCGGGGGCTCAAGCTCAAAGAGAGCGCACCCGGCCGCGTTGTGCGACCAGACTTAAGGTACGACGCACACGGTAAGCCTTGGCCGGGGGGGGCCGGGGGATGCGAGAGAGAAAAGCATCTTGCGAATGGCGGAGTGGGATCGACTCGCACGCGACCCGCTAAAAGCACACGAAGCATGGCATCAACAAAAATAAAAGGCAAAAATTTTTGTTTCGGAAAGAAGGGACAAAAATGGTACGCCAGCGGTAAATCGCGTTTCCCTTTCTCTTCCCTCACTTTAAGCGGTTTCAGACGGGCGCCCGGGAGGTAGACAGCCCGATGGCACGACAGCGTGGCTGGTGGGGGCTGCTGCCACCCCTCCGGCGCCCCCACCGCGCTCATCCGGACCAAATCCCGATTCCATTATTCCGCCAAATTTTTTAACTCAATTGCCGCCCCGCAGACAGTGTAGCTGAGCTTGTTTAAGATTCTCCTCCTTTCCCTCCCTCTCTCTCTCTCGCCCTAGGGTCTTTCACACCTCGACGAACACCACTACAGCCTCTGCCCCTTCCCCCCTGCGGGGGCACGCCGCAGCACACCACACTGTACGCCCCGCCCGGCCGCGCGCGCCTTCGAGCGTGGCGCTGCTGCAATCTTTACGCATTTCCCCATCAACAACGACTATTTACCTCCGCGAGCGAGCAGCAACATCAGGCGAGCCTCGCCCTCACCCTATCTCCCCCCGCTCCTTTTGGAACGATCCAAGAGCGCCACCACGACGCGGAGCAAGAGATGCTCTCTCTCTCTTTAAAGTTTCGTCCCCTGCAGCTTTACAGCGTTACAGTAGAACTACCCCCTCCCCCCTTCCCCTCTCTGGCTCTGCCAATTTTTCAACCAGGCTCTCGACCACTATCACATACCCCCTCCACCCTCCCCTACCCGCTCTCACTCAAGGCGACTCTGGCACTGCCCCACTGGTTATAGCCTACAAATCAGCCTCCGGGGAATTCGCCCTGCTGCAGCAAGAGAGGAGAAAAGGGTTAAGGAAAGAAGTGTGTGGTGGGGAAGCAGAGCGGGGGCGAGGGGTTTGGGGGTGACAAGGAGAGGGGGAGAGGGAGTAACTGAGGAGAGGAGCGAATGAGTCCGCTTCGGGAAAGGAATGGGTGGGATGAAAAATACCTTGTGTAAACGAGCAAAAATTGTGGAATAACTTAAAATAAAGAAAGTGTCAGGCGATAAAAACAGACAAATGAGAGAAAGAGAGGTGGGAGTTCAGAAGGAGAGAGAGAGGGGGGGGGGGCAGAGAAAAGAGTGGGAGAGACGCGGAGTGACGAGGGAGAAAGGGGGAGAGAGAGAGATGGGGGAGGCGATGGCCACTTCGGCTGGCCAAGGCTCAAAGAGGCTCCCCCGCTGCTGCGCGCTGCCGTGGGTCATTAGAAGCTGAGGTAACGACCACACCAAACATATGGGGCTGGGGGCGGGGAGCGAGCGGGAGGGAGGGAACGATACGACGGGAGGAAAAGGGAAAGGGGAGAGGAGCGGTGGTGGGGAGGATCTGGACTGAGGGAGTAATACGCGCGGTTGTAAAGGGGAAGGGACTTGTGATTATTGGCCCTGTCCGTCTGTGCGGAGAGGCAATATCAAGCGGCCGTTATGAAAAAAGGAAAAAAAAAACGACGTACATATTTCCAGAAAATAAGTGTCGTAAGCACTTGTTTTAATTTTCGGGGGTGGGGATGGGGTGGGGGTGTATCATTAAAGTTCTGTTTGTGAATAGCTTATCAATCTTTTAGTGTCTTTTTCAGATGTAAACAGGAATGCGGACTTGCTCGCATTCGCCCGGGAGAAAGACAAATGCTCTTTGCGCCTCTTTTCTCTGGCCTGCTGCGGCTCCACGCACCGCAACACACACGGGGCACCGGCGCCCTACAGGGCTTCGGCGCCAAAGCCTCCTAAGTGGCCGCCGCTGCAGCCCCGCAGTCTTACCACGGCGGCTGCGGGCGACAGCCAAACTAAAGGAACAAAAAACACAACAACTCCGACACAAAGTTGCAATCTCTGATTTGTCATATTACAAAATTTTTGCCTTCCTTGACAATTTAAAAAGTTTACGAAATGAAACGAAAGCGCACGTTAAACTTCAACACTTTTGCCCTTTCGTCACCGTCACTGAGCAGCACAGACTGTGAGATCTGGCAGAAAGCTCTGCTCTCCTCTGCTTGCCCTCCTACTCTGCAAAATCAGGCTCAGGCTCCCGTCCTGGCCATGAAGTTATTTTAAGACAGACCCGTGACCTGCAGAAATAAAGTCTATGACAGTGTTCCATACACGAACACGCACCCAAAAAATAAAAAAACACAACCGAAAAAAACAAACAAGACTTTGAGATTGTACGACACTTTGCAGAGCACAGTACACCACGCGCGCCCACTCTCTCCGGCTTGCCGCCTAATTTGACGAGGCTCAGTGGCGCGCTCTAAACGCAAATGCTGGCAACTTGCTGTCCATCGCAGCACAATACGGTAGGGCGAGGGGGTTGGCGGAGGGTGAAACACTGCCGGGAGGGGGAGCAGCGCGAGCGGCAACTTGGCCGGAGCGAGTCATAGAGGCAGAAAACAGTGTTTGTGGCGTCATAAATTCACAGAATCATGCGGCGCTACCTGACTGGCAGACGACACCCCGTGACCGCCCGTGACAAAAGGGGTGGACTTTGCAAACGCACCAAAAACCGTGCCAGCAATAACCTTTTTTTTTGTGCTCGTTTTGATCTCCATCACCTTCAGAGACAGGTGACTCTAAGCACTTTGAATGCGACTGTCATTGTTTCAGTTAACTAATGCAATTTCATGAAAGCTCTGTCGGTCTTTTCATTACCTTACTCAGCTTCAGGTACACATGCGCGCGTCTGTGACACACACCTGCAACAAAGGAGAGAAACAGGTGGTGAGACATAGTTATTTGTATTTCAGTTTCAGACACGACTCAACTCATATTTCTCTCTCTCTCTCTCTCTCCCCCTCTCCCCCCCCTCTCTCTCTCTCTCTCTCTCTCTCTCTCTCTCTCTCTCTCTCACTCACTCACTCTCTCTCTCTCCTAGAATTCCCCAGTGAGTGAGTGGAGCGGGTAGTGGAGCGAGGGCGAGAGAGTAACAGTAACATTCCCGAGCCAATTATTCCGGACATATTTCCACCCCTCGGGCCGGAGGTCTCCACCCGTCACGCCCCTCCCATCCGCTGCACACTTATAACACCTCATCAGCCCCCCCCCCC